GCCTGTGGTGGAGGGGGTTGTCATATGAGGAGAGGCTGAAATCTCTGAATTTGTTTTCTCTTGAAAAAAGAAGAGTTAGGGGGATCTGATTGAGGTGCTTAAGATTGTTAAGAAAATTGATAATGTTGATGTATCATCTTTTTTTTTATATTTAACAATGAGAACAGTAGGACTAGGGGACACAAATATATATTCTGGCAAGGCAAGAGTAATCTTCAGCTAAGACAGTTTTATTTTTCTAACAGGGTGGTTGGCCTTTGGAATGGGTTGCTTTCAGATGTTGTAGAGGCAGTAAATTTAAGTGAGTTTAAGAAAAAGCTTGATAAGTATATGAACGAAAATGGTTGGGTTTAAAATTTTATTTTCTTAATCATTTTAATTTAGTTTTGAGGATGGAACAGCCAAGATGGAGCAATAAGTCCCATGTTGTCCCAGAATATTATGTTATGTTATTTTAAAAGGGGTATCCATATCCTGGAGAAAAAATATTGATACTTTATTTTAAGATATTTATATTTTACTATTTGCAGTCTAGGACAAAGATACAATATATTCATAGGTCAGTAAGCTGCTGATGTTTGAACAAGTTTGAATTAGACATTTTAGTTTGTTTGTTAAATATTTGTGCATAGCTACTCAAGGGCTATCTGTGCTAGCCATCCTTAATTTTGAAGTGATAAACTACAAAGAATGCAACTAGTAATACCAGCCATCACCAACTCTTAGGCCACTCTTTACCATGAATAGAGAGATTGACAGTCACACAATAACACCTCTGTAGCTGAAAGAAGGAGTATATTTGGTGATGGGTTTTAATACCACAACCTGCAGATGACAAGCTAAGACTTTGATTATTTGATAAGAAAATTTATACAGATGACGCCAGGCCAAATGAAAATGTAGTAAACTGATAAACTACCTCCAAATTGAAAAACAGTAGAAAATGGTGAGATGAGCCACATTTATCACAGGTCTCCAAACTCTCAATTTCCTTTGAACTACAAAATGATGGGAGTAAGAAATGCTTTTTGTAAAAGATCTAAAACTTTCTGAACCAATATTTCTAAACAAATTGGACTGGACTGAAGAAAAAAAAAAAAGGCTACAACTTCAAAGAGATCCTGTTAGTGTGCATCTCCTAAACATCACACAAATTAGGATTTTGTATCACCAACTCTTGAGTAATTACAGTACAATGATTTTATACTGTATTCAGAAAACAGTGAAGAAAGGCACTACAGCAAATTAAAGTTAAACGTATGTACAACAAAGTCTTCACACTATAGAGAATATAAACATATTGTAAACGTTATATCAATATATGTATAGTTCTGCTCTTCTTGTCAAAAGTCCACTTAGACCTGTTCAATTACTTTAGAATGTCAGTTGACAAGCCAAACTATTTTCTCTAATACTATCACAATATTAGTCTGGTGTGATTCACTTACGATTGTGGTCTTCTTTCTTCTGAAGATCCTATGTTCCTTTTGTCAAAGTGCACTCAGGCAAATTCAATTACTTTAGAATGTCTCTTTGACGGAATAAGCTTATTTTTTCGTATTTCTTTTTCCACTGCCTATCACTTTTACATTACTTAACTTAACACCAACTATATTATCTTTGCTTTTATCTGTCTAA